ATGGCTGCAATATAACAAAGAGTGAAAAATTTAAGGGGGTCTGAATACTTTCCGTACCCACTGTATATAAAATTTATATATATATAAAAAAAAATTATTTCATCTTTTTCATGTGTAAAAGAGATGGAGTACAATGCCGAAAAATCTGAATCAACACAGGGGAGAATGTCTCTATCTCAGATTCTTGTTTCAAGTGTTTAATAAATATTTATAAAATCATGTAAACCCTCTCCAGCAAAGAGACACATACCCTAAGTGTCTGACACTTTAAATGCACGCGGATGTGAGAGACACAAGTGCGAGATGAATCCAACTGCACCCTCGAAAGTACATGGTGAAACAGAACAAGAAATCCACGGCTGTTCGACAGACTTCGCAATGTGCCGTGCAGTTTTGTGTGTGTGAGAGTTGTGTTATTTGATGCAGCATGTTTAGGAGGAATCAAAGATTCTAATGATTTCCCATTTCAAACAACAGCCAATCACAGAGCAGAAAAACTACAGGGAGAAACCAAAAGACTGAGTGCAAAAATACATCTGAATCTACACAACCTAGTGTCAATGTGTTAAAAACCAGGCTTGAACAAGATCGCAGCATGAAAGCATCTGTATGAGTTACACATACTCAACGATGTTTATTACTGAGGATCTGTGTGTGCTTACATGTGGTATTGGCAGTGTGTTTGTGTGTTTACAAGCCTCAGAGAGCTGTGTCTTTTCAAGCAGTACAAGAGTCCTGCCTGTCAGCGTGAACATGATTCACCTCATTCAAATGACCCATATACCTTTTCAATTTTTATCTCACCTCCTTTAACTGCACTTTCACTGTGGGTGGGGGGAGATAGAGAACTACACTGTTAAAAATTATCATAATTTTAACGATAAAAATGGTAAAAATGCTATAGCAAAAACCTGCTAATTGGTTACAGTAAGTTCCCTTACTATATACACTAAAATAAGTAAAAAATATAAATTACAGTGAAAAATAAAAAATGTACATCCCCAGAATTTCCTGTGTGACATGCACATTTGATGGTTTATCATTGAAGTAACACTTTCTTAGTTTTTCTTAGAGGATATGTAATTTTTTTTTATAATATTAAGATTGCCACATCTGATGTTGTTAAATGTTGTATTTTGTTTATGACATTATGTGTAATTTATTATAAAAAAATATATATAACGCAATTAAAATATTTTAACGCAGTTAACGCACTGGCCCCGCCCCCAAACCGGTACATCATCTTACATTTCATACAGTAACTGTATGCAATATACTGTATGAAATATATATATACAGTATATATAAAATACTGTATATATATATCTCATACAATATACTGTATGCAATATATATATAAAAACACACACACACACTTTTATTTATCATTGAAGTAACTCTTTCTTAGTTTTTCTTATTAGATGTTCATTTTTTTTAAATAAAATTCAGATTTTGTGACACCTGATGTTGTTAAGTGTTGTATGTAACTGTATGCAATATACTGTATGAAATATATATATACAGTATATATAAAATACTGTATATATATATCTCATACAATATACTGTATGCAATATATATATAAAAACACACACACACACTTTTATTTATCATTGAAGTAACTCTTTCTTAGTTTTTCTTATTAGATGTTAATTTTTTTTAAATAAAATTCAGATTTTGTGACACCTGATGTTAAGTGTTGTATGTACTTTGTGTATGACATTATGTCCACCTTAAATATATGTGCATGTATGTATGTATGTATGTATATTTTATATGTGGTTTTCTCTTTACCACCAGTGTATTTGGTGGTTGTTTGCATTATAAAGATACAAAACTGATTTTAGTACTACTTCGAAACCACAGCTGCAATTTTTATTGTTAATTTCACTTCTTTTTTTTATACAGTGTAACCAAAAAGCACAATACACACATTAAGCTCAATTAAAGACAGTTTCACCCAAAAATAAAAATCCTGTCCTGACTTTTTCCTCTGCTGCGGAACACAAAAGATGATATTGGGCTCCAAAACAACAGTGGAATGCACTTTCATTGTATGTACAAAAAGAAGTAAACAACTTTTGTGTTCTATAGCAGAAAGTCACAGTTTTGCAACAACATGAGGGTGAGTAAATGATGACAGAATTTTTATTTTTAAATGAACTATCACTTTAACACTACTAGAATTATTATCATATACTCCTTCACAACAGTTTTGCAACAACATGAGGGTGAGTAAATGATGACAGAATTTTTATTTTTAAATGAACTATCACTTTAACACTACTAGAATTATTATCATGAGCTCCTTCACATTTGTAACTCATGTGTGTAATAAAAAAACGGTCTTGTCTGGAGTGATCGAGAGTGAGAGAAGAGAAGGAGAGAGAGGACAGAGACAGGAATGACATGGAGAGAAAGGAAAATGATGATAAATTGAAAGCTCGGAGAGAAGAGCTGTGTGAAAGTTAAAGAGCGAGAGAGGAGAAAGCGTGAGGGAGAGGGAGCGAGGAATGCGAGGTGTCAGGAGTTCAGCAGTCTGACAGCGCGAGTAAGAGTGCCGAGAGCCAGAGTTAATTACTCAATCAAGATAACGAGCCTGGGACATGCCATATACAGAGGGCAGCCCACAATTAACCTCCCCTCTCCCACTACACACAGCCGTGAAAGTGCGAACACGCGCGCACACACCCAAGATGTAATTATGACACATGGCACAAACAAACCCAACACTGGTACACAAGTTAACACACTTTTTCGCATTTACACAAAGACACCTGCTAGGAAGAAAAAAAAAGTTTTCTCATCTAATACAGCACAGGATTGTTTTCCATGTGAAAACAAATGAACAGGCTTGTTTACCTCCAAATGAACAGGCTTGTTTACGTAAAACAGTGAATTGCCCATTTTACTTTAAGTAACTAATCTAGTTAGTTGCATCTGATTTCAACCTAGTTTAAAGAAATGTTACAGGTTCAATACAAGTTCATCAAAGTCGACAGCACTTGTGGTAAAATGTTGATCATCACAAAAAGAAAATTTAACACGTCCCTCCTTTTCTTAAAAAAAAAAATCACTTTAAATGGAAGCAAATGGAGCCAATCTGTAAATGGTAAAATACTCAATAAAC